CCTGCCGGAGACAAGCGGAAGGGACATCCGGTCCGAATCCAGGGGCCCGGTCGGGCAACAAGTGGATTGGCGAGCCTTGGGGAAAGACGTTGGCTGCAAAACACGGAGACAAGGCCATGTCACTCAGAGGCACGTTCGAGCCCAACGCGGCCTCAGACCCAGGAGCGATAGTGGCATTACGAATCGGAGGATTTTGGGCTCCGAGGACGGCAGTCAACTTTTGTGGGGCGGCGCAAAGAACTTATGGTGATCGGTCTGACGGACACGCTGGAACAGTTTTTCTGGCGGGTAGGGCAGGATCTCTGCGATGGATACACGAATCACAGGAGGCGAGGCTACGACGTAGACTGACACCCCTTATCGAAGAGATAGCAGAACAACTGGCAGCAGCCTTTCGAACAGCAGCGGGAACCTATCAGGGTGAGTCCAGTTTTCGGGGGAAAGTGTACAGTTCCCCAATTGATGACTACCGCGTGTCAGAGGAGCGATGCGGGGCCAACTTAGGTGACTTATAATGGGTGCCCGGGTGCACCACCCGGGGGTGGTCGGGGGGACGCGGAGACGGGAGTGAGAGAGTTGGAGATACGAAATGGGGAGAGTTTACAGTGGGAGCAGGAGTAAGGCAAGGCAGAGAGGGGGGCGCGCGGAGCGCGGGTGGCCGGGGTGTTTTAGGTTGGCAGGGGGATGGAGGGTGGGACGCCGTGCGTGGTGCGTGGGGCTCGCTTAGGCGGAGAGCATTACAAAGGTTGTAAGTGAGCCCTTCGTATCATACGGATGCTCGCCCCAACTAATCCGGCCCTTACGGTGGCGGGCTCTTTGACTTCAGAAATGCCAAATACAGAAGTACGGAGGGCCCTATGCCAACCACGGATATCACACCAGGACGAGACAGTCCGAGTTTTGGCCATTCCAGCACAGAATGCAGAGTCAGACAACAGGTACCAACTAAGCTTTATTAAGACGGATTACAGAAAATAGACGACGAGAAAGACTAGAAAAAGTCGAGGTCGCCCTCCCTCCCCACCCTCGTGAGACAGGACCAAACATGCACAGACTTATCACTCATCATCACTCTCCGAAACCACCAGCCCCGTCCCCGTCCCGCCGGCCGGGAGGCGGGCGAGGTGCCTAGTAGGATCCAGATAGCGGTGCAGAGTACCCAGAGAGCGGATGTGCGCGGAACGCATGAGATCCTCATCGGAGACCCCCTGAGACTGGGCATGCTGCAAAGCACCCCGACGAAAACTGTGCACCGTCTCTCCACCGTATAGCCCAGCAGCGGTAAGATGAGCGACGAGGCGATATTCCAGGGCCTCGGTCGTCATCGGCGCCTCCCGATATGCGCGGCCACTGCGCTCCGCCGGACGGAAGAGGTATTGGGTAATAGGGGTACCGGCCCTCGTACACGTGCTCATGTACACTGCAAGAACCCGCAGCGCGCAGACGATAGGATCACGATCCGGACGCAACATCGTCGCAGGAGCACGCTGACCCTTGTACGTCTTGGTATTCAATTCTTCGATACGGAGTACAGGGTCGGGAGAGACACTCCCGTCAGGCGCGGGTAGGGGTAACGGCCAGCCCTGGTACTCGGTACGGCCATGCACCGGATCCCTGAAATCACTTAACACCAGCTTGCCGACATCATGACCGCGCTGATACGTATGCCACATTAAAGCAAATAGAGACAAGTCCCGAAGCACCAAACTGCGAGCAAACAAATGCTCTTCGTCGCCGGACGCAGTCCACAGATGGCAGGCCAGGCGACGAAACTTCTCCGCGGTCAAAGGGATGGCGCCTCGCTCCACATAACCGGCGTCACTAAGGTCCCGCCCGTAGCCCTTGACATAGCCTCGCACCAAGGAGCTGTCGCAAGGATTCCCGCGGCTTTGAGAGGCGTCATAGTCCCCTTCCCGGCCCAGCTGCTTAAAAGCAGTCGCAAGGCTCGAGATAACCCCTTTCACAGCACTGGCGCTGGGACGCCGGTCAGCCCGCAGACGCCCAGGGTGCCGGGGGAACCACCATTCCACCAGATACGAAACAATGGACATAGGATCGCAGGTGAGCAAGGTGAGCCCGAGAGACTGGCGCTGCAACCAGCCATGAAATTCTCGCGCAGCACTTTGAACCCGCCGCCAGCTCTCCGAGACCCACTGACGTTGGTGCACCTGGTAGATCGAGAGCAAGGCGGCCGTGAGCGGCGGCCGCACCGACACGTCCCCGGTAAACTCAGAGTAATACAGAGCCGCGACAGGGTCTAAAGGCGGCGGCGCCGACCTCGGGAGACGGATAGGGCCCGCAGCAAGCGGAGGCATGGCAGGGAGAGGATTACCAGGAAAGACCTGCGGTGATCATAGAGCCGAGGCGTAGGACGCACTAAGCTGACGGACGTCCATCGAAAACAGACAAAACGTACCAGCGGCAGGTGTAACGGCGGGACGATGAGATCGTCACGCACAGGCGTAACGGTAACGAATCGATGAGTAGACGAAGTAAGTGGGTCTTGGCCCCACGGTAAGCCGCCAGGTACGAGAGGAAACATAATGCTAACGGGTACTCGCGATAACACGATTACTCGATTCAGGAACACGGAAAATTATTACAATAAAACGGGGCGCGATCGCGCTTCCAAAAAATTTGGATATCACCGAAAAGGGCCTAAATTCGTTCGTGCGTGGTGCGTGGGGCTCGCTTAGGCGGAGAGCGTTACAAAGGTTGTAAGTGAGCCCTTCGTATCATACGGATGCTCGCCCCAACTAATCCGGCCCTTACGGTGGCGGGCTCTTTGACTTCAGAAATGATTTCGGATGCGGCTACGGCTACCGCTGTGATTACGGCTACAGGTACGCTGTAGAACACTAACTTTTTTCTAACCTTAAGACAATCGCCTGGAAACAGTCTTGAGGCTGCCGTGACCAAAGAGGCTGCCGGCACTCGGGCAACTCAATTCCCCATGAAAATGCAAACCACCAACATGCCGCCCACCTCTACCAGCTTAAACCGCGACGGGCAAATTACCAAAGTCAACAAAACGAAAAAAGACGATCCAGCCTGCCCCGGGTCGCTTCCCCGGGCTATCATCCCCTTCCTAGCTCCCTCCCTATCCACCTCCCTTCCTCTTCCTCCTCCGCCCAATATTACCTTACCCATCCCCGTCATCTTCAAAATGGTCTTCATCTTCCTTCTGCATTTCCCCTTCTCTACTTCCCTCTATCCCCGCCCTTCACAGCAGCAGCCCCATATCGCCAGAGGGTAAAACGTAATCGTAGCCCTCCTGCATATAGCCCTGACGATCCCAGTTGAACGGGTTGATGCACTGATACCACCGGCTGCCGCGCGCGCAGGTGCCCAGACACTCCATGTAGTCCTGGGGGCAGCGGAAGCAACCGGCCAGCCCCGACTCCCGCCAACCCGGCTTGCACTGCGACTGGGAACAGCCTGGAGGGCGAGTCGGGGCGGGTAGAGGGGGGGATTTGGGGTTGCGAGTTTTAGGCTTGGGATCTTGGTTAACCTTGGTCGATGGGAAAAGCCACCGTGGCTGTGCATTCTTGCAGTGCACGTGTGTGGCGAGGCATGTGCACGGTGGTGTACTTCTACCTGGCACCGGTGACCTTACCTTCCTGCATGTCGATTAGATTGACACGTACAGACATATAAATGTACAGGCGCATGTGCACGGTGTTACCGAATTGGAATCCGTCACCAGGTCTAGTCATTTGGTGCATACTACTACAGCCACACAAAAACATAAAACGCACGCTACACAAAAACACAAAACGCATACTACACAGCCACACAAAACAAATAACAAAAACGCCCATAGACAGACAGACACAAACGTACTCACAAACAGATGCACACTCACACACCGGCATCCTTGAAGCCGACTCCGGCGAAGCTGCTCAGGTCAAAGCCGACACCCGTGCAGGCTTCCATGTCGCAGGTCGGTGCGAACTTGGATACGCTGAGGCTGACGCCAGTGCCCGCATTCCACCAAATAGCCTGATGGGGCGAAGCCACTGTGGCGGCAATCCATGTCTCGTTTGAGTCGGCCTGCCAAACAACGAAACACACGTTCACGTGCACACACATACACACGTGCACGCACAGGTGGGAGTGCCTCCGAGATGAAGACAAAATGTACGTCAAGATGAGGACAGAAAGCTCGCAGCAAGTGTTAACGGGAGTTGTTTACGAAGACGAAGAGAGGGGTCTGTTAATCAAAAGGAATGAGATTAGGAGGAGTTTGATGGAACTAAAAGCTTTAGGGGCATGCTGCGGCGGAGGCCAACTCATGCGCACATCTACGCAGCCAGATACAACTACGTCCCCCCCACTCCTCCTAACCACCCACCATCGCCCGCCGGACGCACCGTCAGCTCCACTAGCGGTGCGCTGCCCGTATTCCAGCTGAGTCCTCCGCCGCGCAGATCTCCGAAATAGGCGCACGATTGCAGGTCCATCACCTGCTTGGTGAGGGAGTCGTGGTAGCTCCCATGAGCTGTCTGACCCACATACACCACCGGCCGGCCGTCCGACACCTGCGACACCAGGAACAGCCGGAAACTCAGCAACATCAGCAAGACCAGTAACAGATGGAGCGGCAGCTAGGGGCAGCAGTAGCCGGCGCAGTTACAGCCGTAGCAGCAGTAGCAGGAGTAGCAGCAGGAGTAGCAGCAGCCAGCAGAAGCAGGAGCAGTGGTACAGCAATCAGGGCCCCAGATGAAGAAGTGGGCAGGTTTGGCCACGTCAAGTAGTTTGAGTTGGTTGGCCCCACTTGAAGGTGGTAATGTAACGGCCAGCGGCAGCGGTAGTAGATCTGTGCCCACCCACGTACCGCTCATGTAGACTCTCACCCACCCGCCCACCCACCGTCCCTAACCCCAACCACGACCCCTACGCAGGCACATACACACACATACACACACATGCGTGCAACACGCCCCCCGTTCCCCCCACCTCGAATCCATGCCGACCCCCGACACGAGTGTACCAGCCGCCGTGTTGGCTGTACGACACGGCAGCGATTCGCAACCTGTCCTCCGACAATACCACGGTAACCGTCTCCCAGTCCGCTTGGTGATCACCGACACTGTACGGCAGCTCGGGGATGGGGCTGGTGGCGCAGGGGGGCTGCCATGCGTAGAAAAAGTGGTACCTGATTCGGATTTGGGAGTCTCCGCAAATGTTGACGCCAAAGTAAACGTGCGCGTTTGGATCTCGCGCCTTATTTAGCCAGCTGGCCATTGAGCATTCCTTTTTATGGCACCCTGGAGCGTTGCGTTATTAGGCAACAGATGGGTGAGGGGGGCCGCATAAGTCAAAAATACTTTGCGAGGGCGAGTGGTGCCTTTTGTGAGGGCTTGGCGTGTGTGCCGTGCTTCTTGGTGCATGTGGGGTTGGGGTTGGCGAGTTCTGTACGCGTGCGTGGGGTGATATCCCGCGCGGGGGGGGGGGGGCTTAGGTAGGTGCGGTTCCAGGAACCGTGGGTGACATCTATCGAAGTGTGTGGCGGTGCAGCATGTGTGTGTGTGGCGGTGCAGCATGTGCAACAGCACAGCTTTAATACAGTTTTATAGCCTGATTTTATATATGATGTGGTAGCACGACGACGCAGCGACATCGCCTTATGTTGAAGAGCAACGCATCAATACATCGCCTTATTTATTTTTTTTTCATCGCCTTTTTTTCATCGCCTTATGTCATCATCGCAGCTTTCAGCTCATTGCGGCACAGCGGTAAGGAGCGAGCACCACCTGCTTCAAAATATGTCTGTGCGGTGATGGGGTACCCCTGGGCCCCGCTGTAGAACCGGAGGACGGGGGCGAACCTGCGGACAAGCTCCTTGAGGTCGGAGGCTGAGCGGCAGGAGGGGAAGTAACACGGCACGGTACGGCAGAGCACGGGGGATTGAGCTGGGTATTGAGGCGGGAGGGGTCTCAGAGGAGGTAAAAAAGGTGAGGAAAGGGTAAAGGGAAGAGAGTGAGGAAGCATCACCCTGCTTTTACGCGCCACTGTGCCACGGGGGCACCCACTGGGGCGACAGTCAGCGACGATGACGCCTTGTTCATTCAGCAGCAACAACAACTCCACACCTCTACATCGGTGTCGCCACCGGTATGATGTCCCTTCGCCTTCCCCTCATGTGCACAACCTCCTGCGGTAGCACTCGTCCCACAATCCACGTCGTCGTCCCAAATATTAACTTTTTTCCATTCCGACTGACTGACTGACTGACTGACTGACAAGTACCTCGTACCCCCACCCTGCCTCACTCTACCCCACCCCACCCTGCCCTACCCAAGGATAGGCCGTTGCAGCTTTTGTTGGCCCCCTCCCCGAAGGCGGGTGAGGGGCGCCGCCATTCCCAGGAAGCCTTCAGAGGGTCTGGGAGCCGACCCCAGGATGCGTGCGGTATGACACCGTACTTGGCCCTCCAGTACTCGCAAATCCGAGCATCGCAACCCGACGTGTCGTACACCCTTCGATCATCTTTTCCCGCGGTGCCCCAACTGAAGCCTGGCAGAATGCCGTACTTTTCGACCAGCGCGCCACAGTCGTTGGCGGTTAGAAGTTGCCGTTGTTGCCGTTGTGGCGATGATTGAACTGGAGATGCTGTCATCGTGGCGCGTGAGGGATATGGAAAGCAGGTCACGCAAGCTATGGCGAAGAGGAGGGGAAGGAGGACTCCGAGCGGCCGCGGCGACGACGACTCCCCGCGTACGACCTTTCGCTGCTCTCCAGCGGTGGCGGTTTCGGAGCTGATGCCCATATGGCGGCAGTTTTGGAAGTCTATGCAACGCCGGTCGTGCATCTCTGCCACTGTACCAGGTATGACACTGGGGTGGTGGTGAGGGGAGGAGTTGCGGCAGTTTATCGGATGGATTCGTTGGTTCCTATATAGGATATGTCCCCACACGTGGCCTATGTGCGTTCTTCCCCACTACCAAATCGATGCGGTCGATGGGTTCGTGACAAGGCATCTTTTGGTGTGCTGATGTAACGAAGCTGCAGCTTGAAGGGCGGGACTCCTCAGCTTCGGGACCCAAACCAACCGCAAACCAAACAGCGTGTGCGGGATAGATAAATGGCCGGGTGGGAAAGCGAAACTGGACAAAGCTATTGCAGGAAAACCCATTTGGAACATTCCCATTTATCGTACGATGAAAATAGAGGGGATTGGGGCAGGGAGGCAAAGCGCGAAAGGCTAATCGGGGGGAATAGTCAAGGTGGGGTGAGCAACAGGGGGGTTGGTGAGGCAGTGGGCTGGGTGAATGGACTGTGACAAAAATGCATCTGCCTTGACGCCTGAGAACAAGCTGATCTGTTGTGCACCTCTCCACCTGCAAAGCGCTGTGAGCCACCTAAGCAGTCAGCGGGGTGGGAGCGGGGAGGTGGAGCGGCGTAGTCACTGTCACTGACGATATGTAGAGACTTGGGTTGTAGTTGCCTGGCCAGCTGCTAGCCACGAGTGGCAGTGGAAACACGTGGAAAATCGCAAACAGGTGATGATGGCAACAACCCGAATGAAACAAAGTAGCTAGTAGGGCTGTTTGGAGGACGTTTTGTTTGTGTGATATGTGCACAAGGAGCAACCGAAAGCGTACGGTACGAGAGTGGAAGCGGAAACGCCTCGAGGTGTGCGTGCATGCGTTCGAGGCAACGAAACAAAGTGGTTTTTGACAAATAGGAATTTTATAATAAAAAATGGTGGTAAAGCTCTTTTGATTTGCGTGGTGCTTGTGTTGCATCGCTGCGAAATCCCGGCATCGGCGAAGGCCTGCAGTTTGTTTCCGCCTCGGACGAGGCTCATTTCCTAGCAGGAGGTCCAAATCTCTGAAGCATTACAACAAATCTATACGTATGTTTTGCAAAGTTTCATGACATGCTTGGCACAGCGATATGAAATACGATGACGTGACAGCCGGAAATCGCGGAAGCTGTGGTTAGACTCTCCGAGATGAGAGCTCGCAAGGTGCAAAGCAAGTAGGGCGTCGGAATTGCTGGGCAACATATCAGGCGTGTTTTTCTATCGGTTTGGCTATGGGTTTTTCAACGTGCGGCAGGCCAGCAGCCCACTGAGAGTAGAGATACAGCAGCAGGCATTTATCAATGATTACGGAATGGTTTCGGAGCCAGGGAGCGAGGGGAGCGTGATGACGAAGATGGAGGCCTGTGGTTAGTGTCCCACCGTGAGATGGCAACGAACAGGGGAAAAACGAAGTACTGCCGTACGAACGCTAGCCGTCAGAGGGCTGGCTGGCGGTGTAAGGCAGTTGAGGGGGCATGATACAAGGAGGACCGGAGATGCGCCTGGTGTGGACACACTGGCAATACGCGAGGCATGAGTTATGTACTAGTATGGGGGGCGTGAGTTTTGTACACCAACTTCGAGAAGCCGTACATGTCAGTTGGAACGGTTAGGTTCATTCAACATGGAAAATTTGGAAACCTTTACGTCTCTATCTACAAAGTTCAAGTCATTTTGTGCTAACGGCCAGCCACTCAAAAATGCAAGTCACTTGCTTTACTCCATTACGATCTGGGCCGTGTGCAATCCATCGGCCGAGTCTTTCTCGCCGTGTGCATTTGCCATGCAGGGCCGCTGCAGCACCACCAGGTATACGACATTCTCGTGGAAAATACTTTGGATTTCTACATCTGCTTCCTAACTTTGTCGGCTGTAACTTCCCGTCATGATGCAGCCTTATCTGACATCGAAAAGCAGGCGTTAGGAACGTACAGGTCCAACGTATCGGAAGTCAGCAAGTCCAATGCCCTGCAGCTGCTGAAGCGGGCCGCTGCGACAAAATCCATTCCGGCCGAGACTGTGGAGGGTGCCCTCTTGGCGCTGGAACAGATCGTCGCACAAGAAAAGTCTAGTAAGTAATAATTGCGAATTGCATACATTCGTGGTTTTAGAAACGAGCATTTCGAGCCGGTTAGAGCCGGTTGTGCCGTACATGGTCGCTAACCTCCTGCACCCATATCTCCATCAGACGCTTGTGTTCTGCCTTGGGCTCTCTATCCAGCGGTCTCCATCGCGATTAGCGTCCACCATGAGGCTGGCCCTTGACTGAAAAACCCAAGAAGCCGAAGAAACTACAACTCTCCCCACGTCGCTTAGCTGCGATCTCGCAACCCCACTTTTCCCCCAGCTCCTTGACACTCTTGTGTAAGTTGACGGGAAGTGAACACACCACTCGATGCGCCCCAGTGGGACCCTCTAAACTCACTTTGCGTTATCAAACTAACTAATAACTAACGAACACAGATGGGCGCAAGTCCGCTGCCGTAGTGGGGCCTTCTGCGCCCTGCGCTCTGCTCTGCAGGCACGGCTGCGTTGCACTGCACACATACACCTGGGGCATGTGGTGTAACCCTGTGTGTCTGTCTGTCTGCCTGTCTGTCTGTGTGTCTGACCGTAAGTGGGGATCCCGCGCCCAATCGCAATGCTCTCCCTCAGGCCCCACTCCAAGCATCGCGGGCAAGTGGCGGCTGGTTTTTGGAACCGCCACCAAATTCCGGCCTTTTCAATATATTCCTGTCAAGGTTCGTGTTTGTCCGTATGTGTGTATGTCCGGAGGAAGGAGCGTGTTGGCCAGGTTGGAAGAAGAAGAGGAAGGAGAAGAAGGAGGCAGCGCTATGTCGGTGCACGTGTCAGCATTACGTCAGCGCCTGTGTTTCCCCCTTTTCCGAACAAATCCCCGCTACTACTACTGCTACCCTTTTCCCCCCGCACACGCACACGCACATCCTGAAAGAGCTCCGAGTGGAAAACAATAAGAAAGTCCCATGAAGCCCCTTGAACCCTCGTAACGCCCGCACGCAGGAGGACTTTGTGCTGGATGAAACGGCCAAGGTGTGTCGTGCTTTCGCTGCTTTAATTGTTTAAGAAAACAATATTTGGTGCAAACACACCACCATGGGAGAGAAGGGGGTGGGGGCCGCAGGGGATGCGATTTGCTGGTAGCGGTAACCCGTATGCTGGTTGGTCACCCCTCCACCTGAGTGGTGCCTCCATGCTTAGTAATTCTGCCCGTATGTCTGTCTGTCTGTATGGCTGTCCCAAAATGTTTATCTCATATTTGTCTGTCTGTCTGTCTGTCCTCCTTTCCTCTAGACCCTGGCCCTGGAGAGCTCCTTGGGGCCCTTCGACTTCTTCATCCGGGGGAAGATGAACTCTTGGCGGCCGGAGACTGGGGAGCTGGATTTCCAGTTCAATAAGGTCAGGAAGGGGGTGTACGGGGCCGAGGAGGCTTGAGCAGTAGTAGATGGATGGATGGATGGATGGATGGATGGATGGATGGGTAACGCACAAAATTGGTTACCAAAGCTCCGCACACACGGGGAAGGTGCCCGTCCTAAAGCGCCCGCGGAGGGGACCGCGTGGCGCCATAGCTAGTTATCATATTATTTATTGTGAAAAAAAAACGCCAGAGTGATGTGGGCGTCATCGTCCTCCCCAGGGCTCGATGTGCAAATGCGCGCGATGCGCCTAGTCAGTCTCCCAGTCTCTTCGGGGAGAACACTAGCCACAGCTTTAGATAAATAAGGGGGAGGGTCTCGAGGGGCCGTAAAAGCGCACATCGTCTCGTTCCCGATGCAGCCAGGGTAAGGAGACTGGCCGCATTCCGCAATCTGCCGATACGGATTGGATGCCGCACTCTATCCGTGTCCAGCTCCTCTCCAGTCCTTTTCCCCTCCCCCCTTTGCCGGTCCCCCCTGCTGTCGGCTGTCCAAGCTATATTAACGCTCTTTCTTTCCCCCCAGCTCCGCGCTTGCTTCCTACCACCTTGCACCTATCTCGTCCTGACTAGTCCACCACCGCACACTGCCACACACTGCCATCTGGCCCTCAACACACAGTTCACTTCCCACTTCCTCGCATATGTTACCCACCCTAACATGCAAACACGCACACGCACACACACGCAAACACACGCAAACACGCACACACGTGCACACACATACACACAAAAACACACGCAAACACGCATACACACACACCCTTCTCCTGCGGACCCATACCCTTCAGGTCGACATCTTGTTCTCAGGGAACAAGGTAAGAGCCGCTAATAGGTTTGCCGGGAAAGGGCAGATCTTCTTGTTGTTGTTGTCGTTGTTGTTGTCGTTGTTGTTGTCGTTGTTGTTGTCGTTGTGGATGTGGATGTGCGGTGCGATGTGCCCCCTCATGGATGATAGCGGAACATGTCCGGGAACTGTGAACCCATCATCGTTATCATCATCATCATCAGCCGGTCGGTCGCATGGGGGGCTGTTTGTATGTATGTTTATCGTCTGGTGCCCCACCATCCCCCAACAAGCCAAGGGTCTCAGTCTCGAGAAGACCTGTCGTGTGAGAGACGTCTGCATGCTCTGCCTCTCACCTCACCTCACCCACGGCCTGAGGGTGGTGACCCTCCTTTTCCCCCGCTTTCAAGGGAACCTCAAACCGCCGTTGCGTGAGGGGTTTGTTTGTGGACGGGTTTTCCTTGTCGTACGGACCAGGTATGGGAGGTAACACCCAAGACCAAGCCCAAGACCTACACCTTCTTCTACGTGGCCTCCGACTTGGCGTGTGCGAGGAGCAGTGCAGGCGGAGTGGCGCTCTTGGTCAAGTAGGGGGAAGAAGGAAAAGAAGGAGAAGAAGAAGACGTCCCAGGTCCTTTTCTTCCACCGTCTGGAGGGAGAGAGGGAGAGGGGGAGAAGGGGTTAACAAGAACGGTAATCGAGCTGTGGTAACACCCGTGTGGTTGAGGAGGGTTGGGAAAGGGCTTTTTGGGGTCTCCTATGTCCCGCATGTACGCATCGGTGCCGAGATGTCTGTTTTGGTAAAATATTTAAAATTGTTGAAATTTGATTGCAGCTGTTCAGGTCGTTCTCTGGAGCGGCCTTCTCCCGCCGGTTTGCAATCACAGCGGTTACGAACTTTCCAATGGATGAAAGCAATATACATATATATGCAACGGCGGCAGGAGACCGACTACTGCAAGTTTTCCTTTGTTTTCCGTCGTTAGCCTCTTCCGTAAAATCCACATATTTTTTCTCTGGTACCCGAGATTGTTCTCTGGATCCTCTCTCCTGCCGCTTTCTCCAGCTGCCAGGTAGTAGTACCTTCTTTTACATTCTCTCTCCTTCACTACTACCAAATCTCTTCACCACCACAGACAGGGCTACAACTGGGCTCCTCCAGCAAGTGTTATAAATCTTCCTCAGCTCGTAGCAATCTCCTCTTTGAAAAAATGTTCTCATAATGCTATTGCGCTTCAACAGGATGTTTGGGTTTCGCAGTTGGGGAGGGGGAAGGAAACGGACAGGAAGGAAAAACATTTTCTCTCCCAGCCCCTAAAGGTACGATAAGTTACTAACTCATGACCAGCGAGCTAATACCAGCGACCTCTGAACATCCAGCATACGCCGCTCCAGCTGCAGAGTGACACCGCTGCCCCCTCCCCCCCAACCCCACCACACGGTCACGACCCCTGCCTCCCATCGCGTCTCTGACGCATACAGGTTGTAAAAACGCAAAACTCGGCCTTGCGAGACAGCCAATTTACATGCCTACCCTCACCACACCCCCACACCCACACCCACACCCACACCCACACCACCGCTTGAGCGGAAAAGCACGCCTCCCCGCGCCAGCACTCCCTCTCCAATTGCCTCATATGATAATAATATTATTATTATTTTATATTTGTATGATAATAAAAAGTGCCACTTTATGGAACAAGCGGAAGCGAAGAACATCGACAGCAGGAAGGGACAGGAAAAGATGATGGGAGAGTTGAGGTACGCGTTCATACGGTGCCCAAGGACAAGGGGAGTTGCACGAAAGACGAATAGCCACCGCTACACGGTTTCTGTGTGTCAAGTGGCGGACCACTACGACGCCAACTTCTCCCCCCAACGACAGATAGTTCCCGTGTGCCAGTGCCAGTGTGATCAGTGGCAAAAGCATACTTTTAAACCAGCAGAGCAGGCGGCCGCAGTGTACTAAAAGGGACTGTTCTGTCACGTATGATTTGGGTTTTTCCTTTTTCTCATCGCAGGGTCAGGGTCATCCTATTAGGAGCGCTGTACAAAGTATCACTACGACATCGTACCATCGTACCGCCCGCCACGACCCGTCAGAAGCGCGCCAAGGCCCACTACAAAGGTTCACAACCCACCAAATTGAAATTCAAGTACAAATTGAAATCCCAGAAACAGTAAAAAAAATCCGGTCACGGCTATTGGCAGCCTGAGGTGTAGTACACCCAGGTCTGTCCGGTGGGGGAGGGTCCCGGGTGTGTGTGTCCCGGGGACTCCCCCAAACCCCGAACCCCAAGACTACACGCCTGAGTGCTCTTAACGCGGCGCAGTTTACAAGAAAACAATTTCATACATACATACATGCAGACAAACACACGCTAAAAAAGACAGCGACAACAATTTAAAGCGCACACGACACACGCACACACACACACATACACACACATAAGTCCGCTCCACCTCTACCACAGCACACACACACGCATCCATACCTTCCCTCCCCTTCCCTTCTGAACCGGTGGATTGAGACGGCCCCTGGCCTAACGTATGTGCCGTCTCCTAACCGCCAAGTTCGAAATCAGCACCTGCAGGGGGGACACGGGGCCGAGAGCTTTCCAACCCCGCCATGGCTGATCTCAGGACCCGATCGTTGAAGTCCCGGAAGGACAATGGGATTCACGTTGGCATTTGCAGGCTTATCGTCCACGCGCGATCTGGAGGCGACTTGCGGAAACGGCACCGCTTGGCGTGTACGGATGGCGTCAGCGCCGGCGGCGGCTGCGGCGGTGGCGGCGGCGCCGCCTCCGTCGTCGACGCCCACTTTGACGGCGACCTGCGGCCCGGCGACGCGAGTGATTAGCGCCTGAATAAAATCCAGAACCTGATCATCGGACGCCAAACTCGCTGTTGCCGTCGTCTTTGCCGTATCCTCTGTGTCGTATTCACTACCGTACGCGTTGCCAGGGCCGCTGCCGGTGCTGTAGCGCAGTTCAATTGGGTCCAGGGCGGCGGCGTCCGTATCCTCCGTGGCGTCGGGGGAGTCAGCATAGCGTTTGCCTCGGCCGTACGAGATCTTGTTGACGGAAGCCTCGGCCAGCTGACGGCTGCGGGCAGTGCGTCCTGCAGGCAACGCAGCCACGACGCCGCCAGAACCAGGAGTTAGGATCGTGGGTGTCGATCCGAGATATATAAATCGACCCATGGGTCCGTTGAGGGCAGCGGTGCCGGTTCCGGAGCTTTTTAAGGCCCGCAGGTGGCGTCTGCGACGGCGGCCACCAAACGCGGCGAAGGCGCGCCGGAAATCCGTGCGATCGACTCCGCCTCCGCGGCCACTGGTGACGATAGGGCCGGCAGCGGCGGCGGCGGCGGCGGCGGCGGCGGCGGCGCTGCTACCGGTAGTGCCGTTGTCGTTACTGCTACGATAGACACTGCCGCTGC